ATTCGTGTAAATTGGTTACGTTTTGCACTTGCGCTAAGTATAAGATTTCAGTTTTTATCTTCCACGTGGCCCGGCAAATAGTCAGTTTTCAAACTGTTGTTATAAGACGAACAACATTTTGAATATTTTGAACAACATTACTATAGAATCTTTAGCATATCTCAATTTATTGAAGTTCTAATTTGGACTACAGGATGGTCCAATGGCCATTTCTTTAGTTACGGAAAATTTTTGCTGAATCACATTGATTTTGACAGCTTTGTAAGGCTTATCCGACATTATTTCGGAACTTCCATAAAAACATTAGACTTCAGTGTCTCGAAACTGAGAGAATTATTTTAAATCTACGCCAATACCAATTTAATTTTCCGTAACTTTCAAAATGCTTCAAATTTTCAGTTAAAAATATCATTTGAACAAAACTGTAAATTAAATATAATTAGAATAGTATGAATGACATAAATAATTGAAAAATAAAATTAAACTTAAGCTAACAGTGTACGCTATTGGTCGCCGGTGACCTACAAGTTGACAGAAAGCGATATGAAGTAACGCGGAAATTTAGATAGATCTTTAAAATAAAACTAAAGGTGATTTTCGAGAAGACATTTAACTGGTTTAATATGGCTTAAAAAATAAATTATCAAGAATACGTTTGTTGAAATTGACCACGCTACTACAGCATAAATTTGAAAAATAAATTAAAGATTTTGCGTTTAGCCAATTGACAACTCGTTCAGAACTGACTATTTTCGAATCAATTCGATGAAACAAAAAATTGAAGATATTATGTTTCGAGCAGTGGCTATACTTGCTATACTCATGCTTAATGTATGGTACTGCAACATAACCTGATCGTCATGCAATGTAGCATACCAAAATTTTCGAAGGACGTTTGTAACACGGAAATTAAACCGAAGAACATTGATGTGCAAGATTGTTGGTCTCTGATGGCTTGCGATTTTACGGTCAATAGGGTGGGGTAATGCAGTGTATTATAGATTATTAAAATAAAGCAAAAGATATGGTGACCTATGAGTCTGGTGGTCAACCAACAGCTTGCCGGTATGAGGCCGCACAGGAAGTTTAGACAAGAGAATGGGGATCATGAAGACTGTTGTAAGCAGCAGGAAGAAAACGGGGGCTCTGCGTCACAGGGAAGAGGGGGGGGGAAGCTTACCAAGGAGCATATTGCATGAATTTGTGTTCGAAGATCATCATTCGTTAAGTGGTGTTCGACCCGAAGGCCTTTACCACTACATGTTTATCAATCCCCCTAAGGACCTGTAAAAGTTCGTTAAATTCCATAAAATGGAAAATCCTGTGCACTTGTAATAAAAGTGCAAAGTCTTCAGTAGTGAAGAAGTTGATCAGGAGTAATTTGTGTTACTTTATCATAAATGTGAGTCACGTGATTTTCGAGACGGGAATCTAGGAGAGAGAACACTTATATATATATATATATATCAGGGTGCATCATCACATTTAGAACTTAGGCATCATTTGAATCCGCAATCCAAAAATCACGCGACTGACATTAAATGATGACAACACAAAACACCACTTTTTGTGCTCCTTGATCCACAGGCATGTTCCAGCCACGAGTAAAATGTGTTGCGAAGATGACAACATAACATAGCATCAAGCGTTTTAACAAGCCTGGATATGACAGATACACGGCTGACGTCGATGTTCGCGACATGAAACCACATCATATCTATGATAACATTTCCCAGTTCCTGATAACTTGTGTATTACTAGTCGCCCGTAAAGGGCAGTGAAATGTTCTGGGAGACTAAATTTTGCCAGAGGCGCATGGATGATGAATTCTTGGTAGTGTAATTCTTGGTAATGTTTCGCTGAGGGGATTTCGAACTTGGAAACTTTCGCATTATATTGAAGCTGATACGACATATTGGTTTTCGTAAGCTGTAACCAAAGCATGTCAATTAAAGTAATTGTAGAGACATTAAGTATTTTTTGGAAGCAGGAGACATGAAAAATGAGAAATGCCTCCACCGGGAGTCACACCAACGGACCTCTCGAATACATGACCACTACACTACGAAAGCATGCTAAGAAGGCGGGAGAAATACCTTATGTAATAATAAATATCATGCTAATATAAATTTTAAATGCGTGTAATTATATTAAAAGGCTCCTCTACGGTGATATTTGTTTTCGAGATAACGGAAGAAATTCTAATCTTAAAAATTCTTGAGTTCTCTGCCATGTTCAGAGTTTAAAATTTGCATATTTTCATTTAAGTTATTAATAATCAAAGATTAAATCTTATAATTTTATAGTTTAACCATTATTGGGTGAAAATTATCTTACACTTTGAGAGCTGTGTCATTTAATAACTTTTTTTAATTAAGACTTATTTTTGGTTTTACAGGTATAGGTCGATTGTTTCAGAGAAATGTGCTGGAGTCGGGATGCATATTCTGCAGGTAAGGAATAATCACTAAATGAATTATTTGTAAGCTATTTAATTTTGAAACTGGTTCATTGTGAATTCGCAGCTTTATTTGTAAAGTTTTTTGCAATAGTTTCTTTAAAAGTGTATGTTTTACATTAGGATAATTGCAGCAATCGCTTTAAAATTCCATAAAGGCAATATTTAGAATATAGAGAATTATAATTCTGAAACAGAACTAAGAATAAATTAAGATGCTTTTACTAATAAAAATTTATTGCTGCATTCTAATAGAATTTAACAATAAAACACATGGCTTTTTTTTAGTATTCTGACAATCATTTTAAAGATGGCAGCATAGAAATTAGCAATAAAAAGAAAGAAACGTTTGCATCGAAGATTACAATGGATACATAGCGCGGGGCCATTTTGCAATTTTAATGAATTTTTTATTTCATTTTTATTTATTTGTCACTTTTTAAAATTTTAATACTTTTGAATTTTTCTAATATTTAAATTTTTTTTTTGAAATTGTTAACAGTTAACTGATTTTTGATGTTTTAGACTTTAATTTAAAGTTTCGAATTGAAAATTTTAATTTTTCGCATTTTGAAGGAAGTGTATGCTTTCGAGTAGCACATAAATTTTTGTCCTAGCAAACTTGCATATAGCTTTATTGTAATCAACAAAAGATACTTCTGATACTATATATTAATATAACTGATACAGAATCATTTGTATTTTAAATTTTGATAATGTTTCGTATTTTTATATATTAATATAACTGGTGCAGAATCATTTGTATTTTAAATTTGATAATGTTTCGTATTTTTTATCTCTTTAATGCTTTCCAGTTTCTTGAAACATTTAACGCAAAGTTAGTTTTCTTTATTAGCTTTTATTTAGTTCACTCATGGTGTTTACTAATCGTCGGAATTTTCTCATCGATTTTTAATTAGTTTTCTGATAAGTTCTCAAGTTCAAATTTTGTACACATATTGTTTGTAGATGGCAATGCAATGCAAGAATAGAATATTTCAAAATTCCATTTAAGTTTTTTTTAATTAATGTTTAAACGATTTTTAGACTATATTTTAGTTAAGGTGGTGTGGTGTATTTAACTATGGCAAAGCACACTAGGGCTATCTGCCTAAGGGGAGGGATGCCTTCGTGGAGGACTTTCTAAGGGAAACTGGCTCGTATACACGTTACACATGAGGAAAACCACGAAACACCCATGCAGCCAGCCCGTTCGCGGGATTCGAACCTCGGACCGAACTACCAGTGTTCAGCGACTTTACCGCTCGGCCGCTGGTGGGCACTTTTAGTTAAGGAACAAATAAAAACATCAGAGGTTTACTGTTTACAGCATCGAATAGAGCGGGAAAAGGTCTTTGAAATGAAAACATATAATTTCTGAGTTTTCGGTGAAGTTTTGAAAAATACTCGAAATTTTTCGGGTATTTGACGTCCACGATTTTAAATAATCGGATGTAAAGTTTTGAAATTTTCACAGATTATTAAACAAACACTTCGCTCTCTTTTAAAACAAGAATTATGAAATAGGCAATATTTTCTGCATTTATTTAAAAAATAAATTTCAGTTTCAAGCAGAAAGGCGAAATCGGTTCTTTGTATCGCTTGCAGACACATTATTTTCAAGGGTATGATATCATTTACGCTACATAATTCTTATCGCTTCTGTACGTATAGCTTTGCACTTTTTATTAAGAAAAAATAAAATAGAAAGAATTTTTATCTCTGCATTTACTGCTTCAAAAATAAAATAAGGGGGAAAGAATTTTTTAAAAAAGCTTTTATTTGAAACTTATAAAATAATTAATGAACTAAAAGAAGAAATATATTTTATTATACAGTTTTATGGAAATAAGAGATGAAATAATTATCTTTTCGAAATTCATCTACAATTTTATATTACGAGTAATAAAAGCGTGGAATCCTAGATAAAGAAATTTACTAAACAAACCGTCTTGTCAAATGTATAAGCCATTATCTTTATAAATTTATCATGACAGCCACACGCTTTTATTATTCGTAATATAAAACTGTAGAGGAATTTTATCTAGAGAATTATTTAATCTCTTGTTTCCACGAAACTGTATAATTAATTATTATTCTTCTTTTAGTTCATTAATTATGAGTTTCGAATACAAGCTTATTTTATAAAAGGTTTTCTTACTTTATATTATTTGAGGTGATATACTGTAATTTGTTAAGATTGTAGTTTATTTATTTATTTTTACATTGCTGTTACTGGTGAATAACGATGAAGGGAGTCAACCAGTATATGCTTACTGGTTGTCGGGGATGGAGTTAAGGACAGCTTGTTCGAAATACTCTCGTGAATTCCAACTAATGAATTTTCCTCTTGGGCAGATGGAAGCACAAGAGCTGTCGCGTGGCCCATCCATCACTTCGATTACGCCTTTTCCCAGACCTTGACCTCCCGGCCGTCTTCCGTATTGTCAAGGTACGTCCGGCTTCCCCTCAGCTTTTAATCCCGTTAGAGAGAGAAGCCTCGAAACTCCGCTGCCGAAAGATGCGTTCGATTCTTACGGCTTCTCGCCTTTTCGTTTCACGCATCCCAGATGGTTCCGACGCTCTCGTTGTGATGTTCTTCGCTGTATCTCCAACGAGCAACGGAAAGGAGTCCGTTATGGGTTCCGTAGTTACGTAAACATGTTCCCGGTACTTTTTTCGATGAAGATTTTAGGTAAGATATTTTACCTCAGTGGTATTTACTTATTTGCTATTATTCTTTTAATAATATGTTGCATTTAGAATTCAATATAAGTAGGAACTTCTCTGGCTTTTCAACGGTTCGAATTTTCAAATTTGAAAACCCAACCTATACATTAAATACATGATTAGAGTTTACATGGTTAGCAGTTTAGACAGTTTTATAATAAGAAAGTTACATTTTTCAGGGTAGAAAGGGGAAACGGGGAAACTATCCGATTCAAAATGAAATTTATGAGCAGATTAAAATTAGGATTTTATTTTTCATATTCTTTATCTTACGTGTTTAAATTAAATTTAGTATAGCGCTTGGCATTCCGCAGTCCCCGTAGCTCTTTGAATAGGACGTACACTGGTGATGATTGCAATCATAGTGTATTTGTGCAGTATGTAGTATTCGTTTCTGAAAGAGATCCCATAACCAAATAAAACTCCTCGTAATATGTAAATACGACGATCCACAGTGTGGCAATGTAGTTGAAGAACGCAGTACTGTGCGCAAAGTTGATGTGCTCACCATGCGCACATAATGACTGAAGTAGATTCAGAAATAGGAATCATTAGGTTATTTTGAAGCAGGAGATGTGAAAAATGTGCAATGCCTTCGCCTGGACTCAAATCTGGATCTATCGAATACACACTTGCTTGCTAGGTGTTCAAACTGACCCTCTTTCCAAATTGACGCACCGAGTGTGCTAACCGTTACACCACGAAGGCATGCAGAAAGGAGGGGAGAAAATATCTTTCAGGGGCATCGAATATGCTATACTCAGTGCTAAATAACTGCTACAGATGTGGACAAGCTAAACAACTTCAGCTCAGTTCACATGTCACTTCAGATTAGATATCAAATGGTATCTGCGAAATAGTTTTGTATCTTCTTCGTCATTAATGTTTATAACACAGCAGGAGGGTTGAAAACCATTTGACTAATTGCACAATCCGCTCATTAATCCACAGTTATACTTGTAGAAAGTAAAATAAAGCCCGTGGTTTGTATCACACTACTTAAGCAATAATCACTTCCATACTACACACACGTCACCTGCTAGGCATAACTTGATCAAACAGTGTAAACTCTCAAAATACGTTATGTGTGTGGCTTTAAGTGCTTGTGTCATGTTTATATGTTACACTAATATATTTAGTATACTGAGGATGGTGTAAACAATGCGGGAGATATACTTCTGATGAAGAGGTTGTTGATTTTTCCAGACATTTTTTATTTTCAACATAACTCATAGAATATGTACTATAGAATAAGGGCTAACGCAATCTACGAGATGGTACGTCCGCAATTTTATAGTATTTTACATCCCTATTGTACGACAGCTGTAATTTTACCAATATAATAACTTACGTAACCAAATGAATTCCAGACTAAACTGCTTGAAGTACTAGTAAATTGTTAACAATATGCTATTCTCTCTTAATTGTTATCCAGGTTATTTCTCTTCCCTGTGCGTTTTGAACTGCCCTCAAATTAATCGCGATAATGAGTTAACCGCAGACGCCGTTCACTTTCTTACCTCGATTAATCAAGTGTTGAATCGAAATATGCAATTAATCGATTAATCGATATATGCAAAAAATTTCCAGACGATCGACTCGGCAAAAGAGAATAAACAATTAATTAGTTTTCAGATTTGACTGAAACAAAGTAAAAGCCAAAAGAACAGCAAAAACACTCAAAATGAAAGCTAATAAAAACAACTTTAAAAAGTGGATATGATTTGATTGTCGAATCCACTTTAATTTTGCTCCCTGCTTTCTGTTACAGAGATTTCTGTTTAAACGTACTGCAACTATTTATAAGAAAGTAACAATAGTGAGAATGTCCCTTATGGAGGTTCTATTATACAAACTATGTCTAAATTCAACTAGTTGAGTTTGAATAAACCCTTGCATAGGTGAGGAAAACCATTGGCTGGAATACAGAAACGGCTATCTGCATTTCTCTGATTTAATTTACTGGCATACAAATGTGTCATGAAAAGATTTTCCTCTAATGAATGCGAAAGGCGTGTGGAGTCAATTCCAGACGTTTAATTAATTCAATCAATCCGGATTCTCAAGCACGTCTTTTGTTATGGAAATTAAGTCAGCAAATACGTTGTTCTGGTTGAGGGAAGATTTTATTGTGCACCTAGAAGCCCAAGTTTTGAATTTTGAATTTTATATTTCATATTCATAACACTTTAATGAATTTTAGACAAACAAATTCAATGATTTCAAAGTGAGCAGTGGCAACACTGTACGAAATAAAGCATTTTTATCTCCAGCACGCGAGACTGTCTATCGAAATTCCAAAGATATGCTGTTTCTAAATATCAGGTGAGTTTACTATTGAATTCAATTTTATGTGGCGTAAGTGCGACGATCGTGATATTAAAGTTAACACACAAAATGTTAAAATTAAAAAGAAAAGAAACCCTTTTTCTGGCCATTTTACTAAGAAAACTGAACACTAATATAATAAACTGAGAAAAGAGTGAAAAAAATATAAAAATGTTTGTCAGCACTTAACACTGCATCGGGAATTCTAAATTTTGTTAAATTGAACAGAAATTTGGTGATTTTGCTGTTGATTTTTATATGGCGTAAGTGTGAAGAAAAGGATGCTTGGCAAAACAAATGGATTAGCAAGAGTGAGAGCAACAGCAGACTAAGTAGACTATGAGTTCAGCGAGAGCGTAAAAACCTTAACAAATCCCTTGAGCAACAGTTAAAATCTGAAAGCTTTCAGATTTTTATTTTTTATATTTATTTATTTATTTTTATTTATTTATTTATTTATTTATTTTTATTTATTTATTTATTTATTTTGCTGCTTCAAAATACTGTAGACCCCCGATTAACCAAACACTACATCCACGGTTAATTGAAAATCATGGTTAATCCGACAGCATCTAAAAAACACGCAAAAAAGTGGAATAACCCATATTATAATTAACAGAAATTAACAATTAACCTGCATTTTGAGGCAATTTTATCTGAAAAATTGAATGAAATTTGCTTACGTAAATTAAACCAGCATTCGAAGCAAAAAGAATACCCTGCAAATAACAGAAGAATAAACATCATTAGAACTAAAGAAACTTTACTAGAGAACTTGAACAATGTCACTGAGCTGAAACTCAACGTAAAAAAATATTTGTTAACCCTTTTAGTTTACTTCATTTGACAGACACCATCTGTTTGTTACATTGTTATTATGCACTTTTCTTTTTCTTTTTGAATTTTCTGCAGACAGTTTTTTTGGCTCTGATTATTTGTGACAACTTAATTTCTTTTTGGATAGAGCTCGAATAAGCCCTACCTGGTCAATAGGGAAATGACTGTAGGTTTATAGCGAAATTTTTTAATAGCAAGAAATTTAATATGTATATAGAAAGAAAGAAAATCTGAATTCTTTCAGATTTTAACGTCCCACCACAGAGTTTGTTTATGTTTTGTATTCTTTGGCTGAGCTCGCAGGTTACCAAACTGCTCTTGGACTCTCTGCTATTAACACTATTAACATTACTTTTTTCCCTTTACGCCACATAAAATTGAACAACAAAATCGCAGAGTTTTTAACAACAGCACATTTTTAGAATTCCCATTAATTTTTTTCATTCTTTTCTCAGTTTATCATATCAATGGTCAGTCTTCGTAGTAAGAGAATTACACCTCTTCTCGTTTTTTTAAAATTATTAACCTTTTGTCTTTTTAATTTTATTTATTAAACATAATTTTTTCTCACTAACGCCATAATATTATAAGTCATAAAATATTTGAAAACAGCACTAATATTAAAATTCCAGATTTTTTTTTTCATTCGCTGTAGTATTTCTTTAAAAATAATACATGAGATAACATTTGATGACAATTAAGTTATTTAAAAAGTGATACGGACAAAAAAATGAGGATCGAGACTAATAGCACCCCTGGTGCTAATAACAACAACAACAAACACAAAGATATATATATAATTATTGCGGAAAACTTTAAAAACAAATTCTTGCACATAGTCCAGCAGAACTGTAGCTGCAGTCTACTAAACCTTCAGTTAACATGCTTGAATGTCATCGTTCTATTATATTGCTTATATAATAACACTTTTGTTCTTTTTGATGTCTTGTATGACCTCCAGAGGCAGGTTCGTCTGCGCAATTTTGAAGTTTCTGCGCAATCCCTGCTCGGTTTCTCCCATAACAAAACGATTCATCCAAGTGGTAAATTGCGAAAGAGAGTTCTCATCCTCGTCTGCGGAACAACATCGTCTCTGGAGAATATCCTCCGGGAATCTCTTTTTACGGTCACGTAAGCTCTTATACAATGTTGCGGAGACACGTGACCCTTTTAACTGCAGGAGAAGTTTCTTTTCGCTATGCTGTGGTTGCGACTCAATTATCTCTCGTCACGAAGTAGTCCAGCGGTTTGTTGATCACCTCTGCGGGCATTCGTCTCTGCTTTTCGTGCGCAACAGCCTGCATGTGCACGGAGAGGCTGAAGTGAGGGTGATTGTTTGGGTCTGAACTTGGCACTTGAGGGAAAAGCATTTGTTTCTTTTTTTTATAGGGTGGGTCCACAAGCGAATGCACGATATTAGCTTATGGAATAATAAAGACTTTGTATGACTTCTTTTCTATTACCTTTAACTATATCTGTAATAGTTCCGTATGATATTTTGGAGATGTTGTTGGTTTTTGTCTTTGGTGTTCTTGTGGTATCGGTGCGTTGGCAGAAATGTTGTCGAGAAAGTTAGTTTACTTAAATTGTGATCAATAATGTTGTAAGGAGTTATCGCAACATTATTGATCACAATAATGTTACTCCCGTGTGTGGCCTTTTCATGTGAGTAGCTGCACATCCAATAGAGAAATCAGAAGCTCCATGATTCAATTCACAAGGATGGAACAGTTGATTATCCACGTTTTCCTGCTTCGAAATGTTTGATGTTATCTAGATCACTCTGAAGACGACTCAGTT